GCCGCTCACTGCGGCTGCTGGCCGCTCCCGCTGGCTGCTGGCTACACACGGTAGCCCATGGCAACCCACTGCCACAGGGACTGCAGCCTACCCATTGCAGGTGACTCACAGCAGCCCAGCTCCAGGTTGAGCTGTTGTTCAGCATCTTAGCTGTAGAGGGTAGTGTCACTGGCCCTCATATGTGGGATCTGAACCAGGGCCCTCTGGCATCCCAAGCCAGCTCTTAACCAACGCGCCACTCGGCCGGCCCCCATTGCCCTTTTTTTAATGAGGCCATTTGTCTCTCTGTTGTATTCTTTTTATATTCTGGGTACCAATACTTTCATTATCTGTTATATAGATTACAAATATGTGGGTTGCCTACCCCCAAGGTTTGTTTTTTTACACTTTCTTTATAGTGTCTTTTTTATCATACAAAAGTTTTCAGTTTTAAAGCAATCAAATTTATATTTTTATGGTTCTTTTTTTAAAAAAAAAAATCTCCTTTAAAAGATACTTCCCTAACCCAAGATCAAGATTTTCTCTGATATTTTCTTCTAACAAATTTTAAACCTTGGGTTTTTTTTTTCCTCCATCAAAAATTCATGTTTGTACATGGTGTGAAATATAGCTCTACCTCCTTTTTTTATTTTGTCTTATTATTTGTAGCTGGCATATAAATACCACGATGAACTGACTTGTTCATCCTCCCATGACTGAATCAACACAACGTTTGTCACATAGCAAGTTCCTGTAAACAGAGATCTGTTTCTTGGATCTCTGTCCACAAAATAATGGTCCCAGGTACATCGGAAACAAATCTTTACTGATCTTACTTACACTACAACCAGGTCCAGATGGTTTTACAGATAAGTTTTAGCAATTTTTCAAGGAACAAATGTTCTCTGTTTTATACAAACTACATAAGATCACTTAGAAAAAGTTACCCAATTCATTTTATAATCTTAATTTAACCATTATACCCAACCTAGACAAGAGCAGTACAAAGAAAGAAAAATTACGGGCTAACCTCACATTTGAGTGTCAATTATTGAATCCAGCCATGTATAGTAAATTAAGTTGATGCAAAGAGTGCAAGCATGGGTTAATTTAAGAAAAGTTAGTGATGTAACTCATCACATCAACAGAGTAAAGGAGGAAAGTGATATGATTTTTGTACAGATGTAGAAAAAGCATTTGAAAAAATCCAATAACTATAAATGATTTTAAAATATAAAACACTTAGAAAACTTGAAATAGAAATACTTCCTTAACCTGATAAAGAGCATCTACCAAAACCTGTAGCAGACACGCACATGGTGTGAAAACGTCCCTTGTAATGCTCTGGCATTGAGTCCCTTCTTTCCATCTGGCACCTGAGAACTTTTCTGTCAGTGCTGTTACTTTAAATAAGTTGTGTGTGTGTGTGTGTGTGTGTGTGTGTGTGTGTGTGTGTGTGTACGCACTCTCACATTTGTGTATTTTTTAGTTTTATCTATTTATATACATGTCATGGCGTGTTTTCCTAAGTTTGTGGAATGGGGCGCTGTGCCAACTCAGCAGCTATGGTGCTGGAATTTCTCCCTTGGCAATTTTCTGGGCTTGCAGCAGACCAAGAGACTGCAGAAACTACTCTGGGGGTGATGGAGTAGTTGGATTGCCATAAAGCTGGCTTCCCTTCTAAACTGAGGAGTTGTCATTATTCACAACTTAAGACCTTGGCTTCAGCGGGAGAGCCATTACTGATGGATCTGATGAGGATAAAAGTCTTTTATGAAAGTTTCTCTGATTATATTTTGTCAGAGGATAAAATAAAGAAAGGTAATCTACTGCCATAGCACTTCCTAAGGATTTGATATTTCCAAGATCCCTATAAGAGCATTGAAATATAAAAAATACCTTTTTTTTAAAATACTATCGTAATATTGTCATCACTGTCACACTTACATGTAACAGCTTTAAAACATTTTTCATGGTGGTTCTAAGTGTTGGAGATGGAGAGAGAGAGAGGCTTCTAGAGAACACGTCTCTAACAAACTTTCTCTCAACTTCCGTTAATGAACAAGGGATTCCAGTGAGTGTGAAGGCCAATTCAGGGCTAGTTGAACACAAAGAATGATCAATCCATTCTTGACTGTAAGGTCATATGCATTAAATAAGGCCGTGCTGATGCCAAATCAATACTGTATTGTATATTTCCTACAGCAGATATTGAGATATGGATCTACTGTCATGGGAACAGAAATGTCATCAGGAAATAGCAGTTCAGACAAATCTGGGTTACCACCAACAGGGAAAGAGCTGGATTGATTGTGGTCTCTCTCACTTTGTGCTGAAAATGTCAGGTCAGAGTGAGTGTTCATATAGTCCTTGGAAAGGGGACGGAGAAATCAATAAGCTAAACACTCTACCTAATGAGGGAACTGTTTTCTCCAAGGTGAAGTTCTTTGTTCTTGAACTTGGTATTCCTGTCTCTGATATATTGGCAATGCTGTCTTAGAGATGTGACACAAGATTTCATAGAAAGCTTAAGGGCAGATTCATCCTATAGTTCTGGAATAAGGGTTATGTTAACAGGGTTCTATCTGAGCATTGCACTTGAAGTCTGGTTAAAATTTCAATAAAGTTTCCCTTAATTCCAAGGAACAACGCAGACTCTTTGAAATTATGTCAAGAGAGTACCAGGCAAAAAAGAAATCCCATATTTTCAGTCCTGATTTGCCATTCATTTGTTCTGTCATCATCCAAATGCTACCCAATCTTAGTATATCTATACATGGGCTTATATGATAATATTCCATTTTTCTTTGCAGAGATGTTACATATGATGCAATAGGTGACATAAATGTTTTTTCAGATGGGGTCAGAAAGAATATGAAGGCAGTTTCTCCCAAATCTTGATTTTGACATTTTTCTAAATTTAATAGACTCACTTCTCCTAACCACACCCAAGAGATCTCCCACCATTTAAGTATACTAGGTTTCAAAAGAGCACCTGTTATCTCTTCTCAACATTTTTTTTCAAAACTTGCTGGCATTGGTCAGTTTCAAGAGCATAGTAGATTCATGGTCCATCGGCCTGGTTGTTGACTAGAAACCAAATTTAATCATTTCTATTGTTTGTTCTTACATTTTCCAGGCACCTTTTAAAAATGAACAAGAGCAGCTCTGATTTGGAAAAAGTGAGCCAGGGCTCTGCAGAGAGCCTCAGCCCATCCTTCAGGGGCGTCCACGTCAGCTTCACCACGGGCTCCACGGACAGCCTGGCCTCGGACTCCAGGACCTGCAGCGATGGAGGTAACAGACTTGACTTTGACAGGGAGGCTTAGATTCTCCTGAGCCTGGATGGCTGGCCTGGGTTAACTGCCAGGATTTGGAAGAGCTGAGTTAGACCTACTGTCTTGATCCTGCATTTCCCATGAAATAGACTCTACCAAGGAGCAGTTGACGTTAATTCCCTATTGAATATATGGCAAGATGCCTCATCCCATATTGTGCTCCCCAATTATACACAATACATCCACATGGCAACAGGGCAGGAGGAGGGAGAAGTTAATAGCATGTTGAAAGACTCCTGATTCCTTGGGTTAATGAGCCATCTAAGTGTTGGTGTGCTCTCCATTTCTGTCCTCTGGGTTAATTCTCAGGGGATTGGGTATGTGCCAGCCACAGGTTTTCTTTCTCTTGTCAACCTTCTGTGTTTCTCTGTCTCTCTCTTTCTCTCTTCCTGCTTCTCCCTCCCACTCCCCCCACCTCAGGCTCTCTCATGTGCATGTATGCACACACACACGTGCATGTACATGCACATAGTTGGACACAACAGGTGTTTCATAAATGTTTGTTGAATTCAAATCATGGAGGCTTCAGTAGGCGCCCATCCATCCCACTTTCTGGATAAAGTTCTGAGGCAGTGTCTGCGGGTGTGTCCCGATTGGGCACATTCCTGAAAAGGAACTCTCATTTTTCTGTACTTGTGATGGGTAGTATTAAAAACCTCTCACCCTTTCATGTGTGTGCGTCCTCTCCTGCATTTCTCTTATGCTTGCTGTAGCATGTTAGGTTTCGACATGTGCTAGCATGACTTCCTCTCTCACTCCTATAGAAGTAGTTCTTCTCAGTAGGCAATTTTGGAGCAGAGGCTTCCATTGGAAATTTATTGTCACCAGCATTTTTCTAGCTAAAAGATGAGAATCACTAAGACAAAAACATATGTTGTAAGTCAGACTGTGGCGTGTTCTGATGGGAAACTTCTGATAGCTCTAACTTAAAAACAGGAACTATCTTAGCCTTGCTTCGGGTGAGATGTGATGAAAGAGGATTTTCGTTTTCTGCAGATTTTCCTGAGCTTCTGTCTTGTTCCTTTTCTCATCCCATTGTGCAAAAATTCCACAAAACAGATGATTCCACAGAGGGCTGGGCCGGGCGCGTGAACCATTAGATCCTGTGTTGGTCAGCCCTGACCCACTCACAGAACTGTGCCCAATTCTGAGGGCGCAGTCTACAGTGGAGCAACCCATCAGCCACTGGCCAGCTGGTATTGACGAGAACCAGACTTAATTGCATCAGCACGTTGTTTCTCAGAACCAGAAAATTATGATGATTGCTCTCAGAGCTCTTACAGTCTATCTAGGAAGATAAGATTAAAACACATGACACATCCCAACCCAAGGGTGGATGAAATAAGCTAGGACATTGAGCTGCCCAGGATAGGGGTGCTTATAAAGGCTGATGGATGAGAGAGAAATCAATGAGAGCTAATGGAGGGGGTCACAGAAGGCTTTTCAAGTACATAAGACTTCAGTTCATGTCTGAAGTGTGGTTAGAAATAAGGAGGAGAGAGCTTTGCAGGTAAAGGAAACAAAAAAAGAGCAGAGGCTCAGGGTTAGCAGTGCACACTGGGACGCGGGTAAGAACAGCCTGCCACACGTCAGTGGAAGCAGATGAGGGGTAAATGGGACTCATGGTTGGTGGCAAAGCAGGAGGCTGGATTGTACATGGCTCTCGAAACCCATCTGTGGAGGTGGGAAAAACGGAGCCACGAAGGGTTGATGAGTACAATGGTGACGCCTAAGTCAGACGGTTTTGAATAAAAATGAATACATTTTCATAGTTTAGTCTTTCTTTTATTATGAGCCAGCTATTCAATGGAAGTGCATCTCAAAATTTGGATTCCTGGATCCACAAGAAGGTAGCCTTGTCACCAGACTCTGGCTCCTTAGAATGAGTCATTTCTACCTGTTGCTCCGATGTGTGACTTTGTACCCAGAACCATACTTTGAAATTGGCAAGAGACCAAAGACGGTCTCTCCCTCTCTCTCTCTCTGTCACACACACACACACACACACACACACACACACACACACACACACACACAATCTCTTAAATATTAATTTAGAGAATATCCGGAACCACTGGTCATGAAATGTAAGAAACCCTTCATTGAGCTTTGGATCATTAACCAAGGCTGCTTGCTTTAAATCTGTTACTGAGTAATTATTATGTTTCAGCCCGATGAGTCCTTACTTTTACCTCGTAGCCGAAATAATCACCCATCACACCTTCTATTACTGTTTGGCATCTAATGCTAAAGCTGAGAGAGTGGATCAGAATAGGAGAGGTAGAATTAGTTGAAGCTGAAGTTGTAGTGTCTACCTCTCTAATATTATATATTAAGTCATAATATACCTTTAGACTACATATGTATTTTGTCAGTAGGAATTCACTGATGAAAATGATAGATAGCATTGACTTTTTGCATCCGCAGTGTAGGCTGGTCAGAGTGAGGTGAGGACAAAGTCATTCCAGTGCATAATAGTAGCTTGTATAAACTTGGAACATCATCAGGTTCATTTTACTGTTCAGGTCTTGTGACAAAAAAACAAAAAAGTTTTAAATTTTATAAGAAAACCAATCGAAATCGACAGCTTTGTTGCATCTTTAAAATGAGTTTGTCTAAATTTTATGTTTGTGAAATATCATTGGTGTATCAATGTTAATTTCATATCTTTATGCTTGTATCGCATTTCATACTCCTCAAAGAACATCTGTTATCCCATTTGTCCATGTGAGCAGTTTGATTGAACAGTGAGTCAACTCAGTGGAAGGAAAAATCCATCTAAGCAGTTGTTTCGTGTGTGCTTGGTGTGGGAGGAACAAAGTGCATGTGTCAGGACAGATCTGTGAGTGCTGGCAAGGGGAAGCTAATCTGTGGTGAATGGGTGGATGGAAGTGAGGGGAAATAGTAGGCTAAATGAAGCTGTCATCAGAAGACTGTTGTGCTTTAATTGGTTACTTTTACATATGCAAACCTCAAGTCCCATTAAGATCATTTTCCTTTTTGATTTAGGATACAATTCAGTTCAGCCGTTGAACAAGCATCTGTGGATGCCAGGCTCCCAGGGTACAGGAGGTTACAGAGTGTTCTGTTGAACTGAAACTGTTAGCACAGGCACTATAGATAAGAAGTCTCACAGTGAACATAAGTATAAACTCACATGAAGATATGCACCAGGGCAGTGTTGGTATTATTATTTGTATAGCCAGCAAACCAGAGATACAGAAAGTTAAATATCTTGACAGTTGTCAGCTTGTTTTTCTCAATAATAATGCCAAGTAAGTTTTTAAAATATATACATTAATTCAGTCGTTGATTTGATACATATTTGTTGAATATAAACTATGTACTGGGTATAATTCTAGATGTTAAAGATATAACAATGAGAGGGAAAAAATGCACCCCTCCCCCACAAATTCCCCTTTCCCTTCTTTCACGGAGCTCGCATTCTAGTGGGGAGAGATGGATAATAAGGAAGATAAAGGAGTAATGTAGCCGTGGGTCAGATGGCAGTAGGTGCTATGGGGGAAAATCGAGCCAGGGAGGTGGCAGGGAGAGGTGTGAGGACCTGTCAAGGGCAGAGACAGTAAGTCACAAAGATCAGACATCAGTCAGAATAAGTGACAGCCTGACTTTCGCCACACATTTGCTTCCCCACTCAGCCTGTTACCTGAGACTCTGTAAGAAGAAAGAGTATTTTTTAAGGGTGGTCTTGAAAAAGGCATCTAACACTCTCTAGCTAAAAGTAGTGTATTTCCTGACTCTGAAATAGGCTTGTTAAAGCACTGGATCCTAAATTGGTGGTTTTGGTCTAATATATTACATTGGAGTTTTCTCCACCCACATGGAGACAGACTGGGTCATGGTTTCTGTTCTGGGAGATCTATTACTGAAGGATGAAGATTTCCCAAAGGAAAAGTTACTCATTTTTAAGATTGTCTGTGGCCTGAGCCCTTACAATATCACTAAAGTGAAGCTTCATCTTTGTTTAAGATATTTCCCTTCAAACTGAATTTTAAATATATATATCACTCCAGTAAAGTCAATGCTTATCTATGGTAAAAATCCAAACAGTGAAGAAAGGTACGAAATGAAGTCAAAGACTTCAGACACCCACATCGTGGCTCAAACCATCACTTTGAACGTTTTTTTTTCTGTATCACCTCAGAAATTTTTATCCATATCTTAAATATCATAAACGGCTTTGCCATGCATTTGTGTACTTGTATCTTGAAATCTTTTACATCAGAATCTCTAGATCTACCCCAGTGTTTTTCATGCTGCATGATTTTTCATTGAATTGGTGAAACCCTTCTCTTATCAGTGCAGGTTTATGTTTATTTTCATTACACGTCTACAGTAAGACCTTGCAGCATACACTGAAATCATTTGATGAGCATATCTGTAAGATAAATTCTTAGATGTGGAATTGATGTGTCAAAATATACATGCATTTTAAATAGATGTTACCAAATTATCCTATCAAAATGTCAATTTCTACTTCCATCAACAGTGTGTGAATGTGCTTTGAACTAACTTTTACTTTCACTGTTAATTAGGAAAAAAACCCATAATGATCGTGGGGATTGAAACACACTTGGGCTGTAGGCATGGAACGCTTTCCGTGAGCCTTTTTTCCAAACTTGAGACCGTGCTTCTCCTCTTTTGCATGTAAATCACATTCATGTCTTGATGATTGTTTCTTGGGATGATTAAGTGGCCCGGAGAGACTCCTCACAAATGCCACCTTTTCCCTCCAGTTGTAAAATGCTAATAATAATGCTTCCATTTTCAGACCACGTTTACCTTCTTTAAAAAGCAATGATTCCTTTTGAAGGAATGCTTTGTTGCATTTTTTTTTTTAAACACTTAGAGTTGAGCCTATTCTGATTGTGGGACCAAACAAGAGGTTGCACAATTTTCCTTTGGAGGAAAAAGTTCCATGTGAGGCTAGAACATTCC